AGGCTCGTCGAAACGGGCACTCGAAGCTCTGATGCAAGCGCGCTTCCGGCAGAGACCGCTCGGCACGATCGCCGCGGAGACGGGACAGGCAAAACATTACCCAGCATGTGTGCCAGCACGCTTTGAGCCCACAGCGATACGATCCCGATACGATCCTGCACGGATAATCGTTTGGGCTGGGCGTAGATTCTGCCCCCAGCTCGAACGCCTTCCCATCCTGGATCATATCGCTTTGGCTGAGTGATCATCCTGGGCCATCCTGAGTCATATTCAGCCCGACTGGCCAACTCTGGTCAGTTCTGCGAACCCGTTTGAATACTTACACGATGCAGCGGCATCGACCACGTTTGCTGAACCTCACTGGCGCTGGCGCTGCTGTCTCCCGGCGGCCCCCCTTCTCTTACCGTAATGGAGCGCTCGTGGGGTAGTTCACCACCCAACGCGCTTCATTAGCCATTCCGTTCCCCACTGCAGAGATGCTCCGCCAGAGTCATGGGCTCCCGCTCACGCGAGCCAGTTGCACGCCGGACGCTCGCTGGCTGGTTCAGAGGCACACTTGGGCGACGAGAAGAGAAAAGGGTCTTGCGCGAGATAGCATAGCGACCTTACGCGGAGGCTTGCGCAGGCCGCCAACGCGGCATGCTACACTGGAAACGAGGGCGCTTGCGCGCGACCTTGCGCAAGACGCATGCGCGGCAATGTCGGCGCAGTCGGCCCCCTTTTCTTGCGTCGCTCACTCGGCGCTGCATCCACACTGTCCTTCTCTCCACAAGGTGGTCCCGGCGGGGCCCACACAGGGAGGCCTGCGGCAAGGGGGGCTCAAGCCGAGGCCCACCACCAGTGGCGAAGGCTGAAAACGTATCCACAGTCTACGGCACTGCATCAAATCAGCGGCTGTGGGGGGCTTCTGCTGCAGAGGAAGCTTTCAATGCACGGCCCCTCGCTCTTACCAGCGTCTGGGAGGGTTCGGGGAGAGCGCTTCTGCCCCTGCTTAACAGCAATTGGGCCCTACCCAAACTACAGCCAAGCCCCCATGCCAACTGCAGCCACACAACAAAGGACGAATTGCCCCGCCATTGCCAAAAGCCTGGGAACGGACAACAAATGACGTGGCTAGAAGACAACAAAGGCGGTGGCTAAAAGACAACAGCGTCTCGAACGTGCTTGCTCTTGAAGCCCCGCTCTGGCGTTACATCTGTATGGGGATGGCGGGCGCAGGCAGGCTCGTTACCTAGGACAGCAAGGATCAGCACACATCAGTGCACAACGGCGGATAAAAGGAAGGCATAAGACAGACGAGCGCCCAATTGCTGAACGGAGAGGGGGGATCGGAAGGGGGGTACTCTGCGCACGCATTATGCGGATGGTTCGGTGCCGTCGGTGGCACGTCTGTTCTGTCTTGCATCTCAGATAGGGAACTTCCACACTGCCACAGCGTGTTCATGCATCGCCCGCCCCACGAATCCGTCTTGCGAACTGCTCGCCCGAACCGCTGAGAATCCCACAAGCCCTCTGGGCGTAGGTGATCTAGAGCGGTTTCTCTTCCAACCCCTTCCTCTTGCCCTTCGGGGAGGGGTTTATCACTGTTTCCTATTAATATACACCCCCTCCCCCAGGCGACTGGGAGCCAACCAGGGACAATACGGCCCCCCCACCATCCCGTGTAAAAAACAATGCTAACACACACTCTGCCTCCAAATTCGGAGCATGCGCAGCGAACCCGATGCGGCCTCCCCCCACCATCCCTGTCAACAAACAATACATAATACACTTGGCGGCGGTGGCGTCGGCTGCGGCGGCTGCGGCGGGGGCAGCGGCTGCGGCGGCTGCGGCGGTGGCGGCGGCGGTGGCGGCGGCGGCGGGGGCGGCGGCGGCGGCGGCGGCGGCGGTGGCGGCGGCGGCAGCGGTGGCGGCAGCGGCTGCGACGCCAGCGGCTGCGGCGGCGGCGATCGGCAGCGAGGGTGGCGCGGTGGCGGCGGCGGCGGCGGACAGCGGCGGTGGCGGCGGCGGCGCGGCGGCAGCGGCGGCGGGCGGCGGCGGCGGCGGCGGCGGCGGAGGCGGCAGCGGCGCGGCGGATTCGCCCCCAGTAGCTGCCCATCCAAAGACGACTGCTGAATATGCTGCGGCTCGGGTGCTACGTATGTGTTGGGAGGGCGGGTGGGAGTGAGCGAGACGGTTTGCGGGCGGGGAGGGAGTCTTGACCCTCCCCTACCCCCATCTCCTGGACCTGGATGGGGGGGTGTCGCGCGGCGTTGGAGCGTCCAAGGTGGCCCAAGATGTCTCTAGGAGGGCCTCACAGAGCCCAAAATGACCTCCAAGATGGCTCACGATAACCCAAGGTGGCTCAATATGGCTCCCAAACTACTCCAAGAGGCCCCAAGACCGCTCCAAGACGGCCCCGAGTGGCCACGGAGCTTCCCCAGGAGGCCGCCAAGAAGCCAACATCCTTCAAGCACATCAGGCAAATCAATGATTGTTACCTTCTCGCCGTTTCGCTTCCGATGGACCTCCGAGGCCTCAAGACAGCTCCAAGAGGACCGCTGAAGGCCCCAAGAGAGGCCCAAGACGGCCCCAAGAGCGCCCCAAGAGCGCTCCAAGAGCGCCTCAATAGGGGCCCAAGAGGCGATTGTTGGGGCTCCCGAGGGTGGACCGTGTTTGGAGCTCCCCTCTTCTTTGATCGATCTCCTCCTAGATGGCCCCAATACCGCTCCCAAAGCTTCCGACAGCGCCTCAAGAGAGCCGCAAGAGGCACCCAGGAGGCCCCAACAGGTGCCCAAGAGGCCTCCAAGAGGCTCCCAAGAGACCCCCCAAAGGCCCTAAGAGGCTCCCCGAGGCATCCAAGACGCTTCAAGAGGCCCCCATGACCGCATAGAGGCCCCAAAGACACTGACGCTCCAGGAGGCCTCCAAAAAGCTTCCTAGAGACGTCCAAGGAGACTCTGAGAGGCAACTCGCCTGGGCATCGTTTCTGGATGGGCTGGTGGGGATACGCCAAGCGTCAAGAATTCCCGAGGTTTCTTGGGGGGCCAGCCAATCTCATCCAAGAGATGCGGGCGCGTAAAATCAAAAGCGCCGTACAATGCCTATTTGCGTCAATCAGTCGCTGGAGGTCTTATACCCAGAGCTTGGACAGATCCAAGCGCCAACCCCTCACCACTTCGCTTTGGTTTGAACATTATTCCATCGTCTACGTATGCACATGGTCAATCATGGAACAGCATGTGCACAACATGTTTCCCCCCCCCGAGTTGCAACGGAAGGAACAGGGTATTGGAATTGCCACCTGCCTAGCGGCACCTGAAAGTTCCTCAGACTCGCTCGTGCTCCAGACAACAAAGGACTGCACGACTGCACGTATCACCCGACGAAAGATCATACACCAACCAAGCTTCAATCAAACTCTCGTAACAAAACGCACCCATGATTTCCGGCAATATGAAACAAAGCAACTGCTTTCTGCTGGACACGGCCTGCGAGACGAAGCACTGCCGTACGTACACGATTCGGTGGTCTCCTTGCACTGGGGAAGATGGTGTCTGGGCTTGGCTTGGCTTGACGTGACGCTTTGTCCGAGGCTCCCGGCTGGCTGCGGGGGATAAGCGTAACGAGAGAAACGAAAAAGACTGCGCGACTCGTCACCCAGAGCTGCCCATGACCTCGCGCGGCCTGCTTCTGCGGTCGCTTCAGCGGCAGGTGGCGCGCCTGTGGAGTCAAGCAGGCGCAAAAGGGATCGAGACAACACGTGAAGTTGAGCGCCAGACCTAGGCCTGGCTTGGGCACCGGTCGAAGTGCTCAGAGCATGACATTGGGCATTGACATCCAAGCAGCAAGGCTCAGTGTGCAGAGCGCAGGGAAATTCGAGAAAAGCGTGACCCCCCCGCCCCAAATAAAGATACACCCACCCTGCTACCAACACTATCCATCCGCAACCATTGGGACAGATATCACCCTGGCTGTGACACCTGCACGAAGATAGAATGACCACCGCGTCAGAAAAGGCTAGGAGACGGCACGAACGCATCGCGTGTGGCCTTGCAAAGATGCGTGATCCAAGGTCGAGGGAGAGGGCTTCAGGAGAGCTTAGATGATCAATCTGCGAGGCTGATACGTGCGGCATATCTGTGCGCGGCGCAATGGCGCAGCTCGTACAGAAACCGCGACAAAACTTAGTAAACGTGGCCATCAGCTCGATGCTGTTATTGTTGGCTGATCTGGCGTCGACTCCACGGGGCCCGAACGCACAAACACCGTCGTACTCTCAGGCCTGGCAAATTGCAACGCATTTCAAACCAACCTTGTGTGGCTTCGATTGGCTCGAGGGGCCTTGGCCGCCATCCCCCCATCCGTGCCCTCCTCCGCCTCCTCCGCCTCCTTCTCCTGCTCCTCCTCCTGCTCCTCCTCCTCCTCCTCCTGCTCCTCCTCCTCCTCCTCCCCCTCCTCCTTCTCCTCCTTTTCCTCCTCCCCCTCCTCCTCCTCCCCTCCTCCTCCTCCTCCTCCTCCTCCTCCTCCTCCTCCTCCTCCTCCAGCTCCTCTCCCTCTTCCCCCTCCTTCCCCTCCTCCCCCTCCCCATCCCCTCCTCCTCCTCCTCCTCCTCCTCCTCCTCCTCCTCCTCCTCCTCCGTGTTCTCCTCCTCCTCCTCTTCCTCCTCCTCTGTGGCCATTCTGGCTTGTGCTGTCGCATCGAGACCCAGCCCTCGACTCGAGGCGCGATGGGGCCCTTGCGCGGCGGGAGGCGGGCGCCATCGGGGTGAACTGACCGATTGCCTCCGATCGGGGCGGCGCTCGAGCTGCTGAAATAAGGGACGATTGACAAGGAACCAAGCCCATTTTGGGCGCCAGCAGCGCCTGGGTGCACGAGGACCAACCACGGAATGACCTGAGGAACAGCGAGCCCCCTCCGAACCCAAAACGGTCCTTACGTCAGCGTCTTGGCTGTGTCGGCCCTTCGGCAAGGGCGTCAGGCCAGGCTGCAACCGCGCTGAGTCGCGTGGCATCGCTGCGGATGAGCGGCGGTTTCGCGGACTTCACCAGTTGTGCTGAGGAGGCGTGTGAGGAAGTCGGCCTCGTGGGCCCCAGACCACCGGCGAGGGGTGGCGAGATGGATCGTGTCTTCACCGGCGACTCGCCCGATGATGAGGGCGAGTCGAAACTTAGTGCGACCCAGGCCCGTTGTGAGGTGGACCTCATGCGCCTGGAAACGGAGAAGAAGGGTGAGAAGCAGGATGCGATCCGACTTAGTGGGAGGGACGGCGGCAAGGTGATGATGCACGTACCCGAGCAGAAGCTGGCACTGTTTCTGCCTTTCCCTGAGTGAACGGCCGACATGAATGGCAAGGAGAGCGTGGCCGAGGCCATCAACGGGGTCGGCACTGGCTCGACAACACGCTGGACTGATGACCTTGATGCTGCTTGCCAGGTGGTCTTGGAGGACAGCCAGGACGCGCACAGTGTCGGAATCGGTGACATGATAGGCATCGGTGAGCAAGACTGCGACGGCAGAAGCGGTGAGGCAGGCGACGGAATGAAGAGGCTGGAGCCGGTGATAGCACTACGGTCGGGAACTTTTGTTTAGCGTGTCGCGGCGGCGGCCCCAGCGACACGCTATGGCGTGTAAGTGGATATCGTGTCGCTCCGCTCCGCGGGGCGGGAGGCTTCGAAAAGCTCGGAACGCTGACGCGTGGGGACTGGGAGGAAGTGAAGAAAGTGTCGCGCCGAAACGTGGTGGGCCAGAACCGGCGAAGCGACACGTTATCCAAACATTGCCGACCGTAATCCCGTCGGACCCTGAGCTGAAGCGCGACACGATGGACACGGTGAATGGGGACATCCTGACCGCGGACGGCGTGATCAACTTCGACGGCCAGGAGGGGATGAGCTTCGGCAAGGTCGTGGACATGGCGAAGGATGGCGCCATGGGTAGTTGCATGTCCGACTGCGAACACCCCCCGACGCTGCTCATCGACCAGGAGCTGTTGCAGAGGAACCCCATGGAGTCGGCCATGGTGTCCCAAGGTGCGCGGCTCGAACGAGATGCTGATGGTGCTCAATTGCACCGACGGCTTGGCCAAGATGGCCCTGCAGCTTCAGGACTTCGGCGAGCACCAAGACGTGAGCGCCTGGAAGCAGGAGAAACTGAAGACGGATACCAACGTAGTCGTCTCGATACGCAACACGCAACCAGTAGCGTGTTGACACGGCGAAGATTGAAAACGAACGTTTGGCGCGATAATTTCGCCCAAACGCGGGCCAACACGAGCCAAGCCAACACGCAGCGTGTGAACACGGACGTCTCGAAAACAGTTCGCGCTGCGTTTCAAAACGGGCGTATCAGGGCAGCTAAGGATGCCATACTTGGCGGCACCGTGCAGCTGCGGCGGAAACGCAAGGATGCAGAGACAGGATGCGGCCGAGCGAGCTGCTCTCCGGCTGGTGGCGGGTGACGGTGTCCGCGAAGCTGGAGATGAGATGGAGTACGGTCGGACACAGAACAGAAAAATATCCTTCAAGAACATGTTTTTCATTACCAGGGCAACTCCAACATAGGACCCATGGAGGGCCATCTGGAAAGAAAACATTCCCGGGACGCGCCGAGGAACCCAGGGGGTCCGGCTTCCGCGGAAGAAAAGAAGAAATCCTTGGCGAGGGGTTCGGGCACGGGGGTAACCCCTGTCTAAAATCCCAGAAGAGACATGTTCTTTCGGCCGCGGGGGTGCTGGCGCGCGGAGTCCCACCCACCCCCAGCGCAACCAGAGGAGGAAAAGCGCGAGAGCCCAACTTGTGAATGCAATGCAGCATCACTCTAATATGTAACTGTACTCGGGAATTGTACTAGTACTACTTGCACGCTACTGTGTGTCCTATTTCCGAAGTCGACATTCTATACGGTCTCCTCATTCCTGAATCGCAGTTATATTATGCTTCCGTACTCCCATGTCGCGATCCTATAGTGTTTCCTTATTCTCCAAAAAGGCTTGCCCTATAGGAGTCCTAGCTCGTCATAAGTAACTGGTATTGAGAACCCCACCCCCCGTTTTCCAATGGCACCCCCCCCCTTCTTTCCAATGGCCGCCCCCCCCTCCCCCCCCACTAGCCAATGGCACCCCCCCTTATGTCCAATGGCACCCCCCAGCCATTTCCAATGGCGAGTCCTATGGATTCCGATGGATTCCTCCTCATCAGCATCACACACTCACTTGCATTTGCTTGCTTGCTCTTGCGTGTTTGCTCTCGCTTGCTTGCTCCTGGTTGCTTTTGTTTGCTTGCACTTGATCGTTGGCTCTTGCTTGCTTGTTACGCTTGCTTGCTTCCGCTTGCTTGATTTTGCTCCTCCCGTCCTCCTCCTGTCCTGCTCCCGTCCTCCTTTCGTCTTCCTCCCATCCTCCTCTCGTCCTCCTCCTGTCCTCCTATCTATTTTGAACCAACGCTGGCTGATATTCCTAACTCAAGAGTCGATACTGTTTCCTGACACGACTCAATCGCAGATCAATAGGACCAGGTGTACTGCAGGACCAGGTGCGCTCTAGGAACAACTGTGCGCTAGCACATGATGGCACCAATTGCACTCGAGTGCTCGGCGTTCTCTATATCCCGAGGGGTTCAAGGGTTCCAGCGGCAATGCGCGCGCGGAAGAAAAAACAAAATCCATGCGCCGCCGGGGGTCCAGGGTTTAACGGGTCACCGCGAAGGTGGACCCCCCGCGGAAGGAAGAGAAGAAATCCGGCCAGGGGGGGTGGGGAGTTCAGGCGTGGGTCGCGGGGGCGACTCCCTTCGCACCGTCGGGCGAATCGGAAATGTGTGCAGTCTGGCGGCCAATCGGGGACCGCATTTACCCCCCTAGATCGGGATATAAGCCGTATCCTTCGGGCTTCGAGGGGTGTATCCCCAACTGGGGGTTTAATTTGGTGGGGGTCTCGAAGGGGATGAGCATGGGGATGGGGATCGGTTAAACGATACTGATGCTCCCCAACTGATGGGAAACCGTGCTTTCAGGCAGCTGCTGACGAGCCAGTTCGCAAACGACGCGCCTGCGCAAGCAGGCGCGGCCTCGCGCGCCCCGCAGAGTCGAGGCAAAAGCGCCGGACCCTCCATTATCCTCCATTGCCTCCCGGCCGTGGGCGGGGGAGGTCAAAAAGCCAAAATTAGCGGAGCGGGAGAGGCAGACGAGCAGCTATCGTTCGGAAGGACCAGGAGGAGAAGGAGGAGATGAGATGAGACGGGCCGCGAGACGCGGGTCTGCCCCAGGGGCCGAACGCGGGCGGTCTGGCCGCTCCGCGCTCCGTCGCGACCGCCAACGACGGCAGCCGCGCCCCCTCTCAGAGGAAGAGGAAGACGACATCGCTGAAATTCAGCACGATGCCGAACTCGGGGACCACCAGGTCGGAGTCCGCGCACTTCTGCAGCTCTTGGGAGTTCTCGAACTCAGAGCTGCACCTCTGACACACCATTAATAGTGCACCATCTCGCCGTCGCGGAATACTTCGTCGCGCTGGTCGAACGGGTCCTCCTCATCGTCCAAGTTGGTGCGCACGACAGGCCTAACCCCTCGCCTGGCTGGGGAACTCACGCATTGCAACGCCGCCGACACTCTGTCACTGGTGAGGCCCCCCGAGGATACCACCCGCTGTGTTTCATGCCCTCTGGGCCCTTCAGGAGCCTCCACCATGTGCCCATTGTCAGCAGCTTCAGGCCTAACCCTCCGCCTGGCTGGGGATAATCCTGCATCTTCAGCACTCTCAGGCCTAACCCCTCGCCTGGCAGGGGGGTAGCTTACCGTAGTCTTGCCAACAATCCTGCGTCTCGCCCTCGGAGCCGTCGTCGAACTCGCCGCTGGCAAGGTCGAAGAACTGCTGGCAACCACCTGTTCATTGTCTTGAGAACTCATCCTTTGCTCTTGTCCTGGCAACAAGATGGGGTGAGCCACGTCCTGCCACGGCCGCCTCAGCCGAACTGGGGTCGACGAGGGAGTTTCACCAAGCGGCAGGGCCGCCTCCGCAGCCACCTAGGACTCCTCGCTCGGGCACGACGGGGCCTTAGGCCTGCATCCGATATTAGAGCGGCCAGCTCCCAAGACATCGCTTGGCAAAGTTCCGTCCACTGCAGTGATCCACCCAATACGACGATGCAGTAGCACAGCACGATAGGAGAAGGAGGAGGAGAAGAAAAAGGAGGAAGAAACCCATTCACGCTCTGTTGGCCTGCTGCGTTGTGCAGCCGGGGGAGGCCCCATTTACGATCGGGGGGCGCCTGGGCCGAGCTGGGAGAGTTGTGGCGAGGACGCCTTTGGCCCAACGCCCCCACTGCACCAGCTCTGGAAGCATGAGGAGGCAAGAACGTATGTGGGGCAGCTGCTCTACATCTTCACATCGAAGATTGGGACAACCATGCCTTTCTCAGCTTCCGTGCGGACCGCACCGGAGTCGAACGTCTTCGTCACTTTACCGTTGCAGGACACCGCCACGAGCAGGTCATCCTCCTCCGCACCCTCCCCATCAGTCAGCGTAGTGATCTTTCCATATTGACGGACTAGCTTCAGCCTGTCCTGTTTGGACTTCTTCCCCTGATCGGTTACGGGATCCTTGTGAACCGGGCGCGGCTTGCCATCGACGATGACCTCGCAGCACTTGAACGCGCACTTCCGCGTGTCGCGGTCCATCTTCTGGAGCAGAGCCCCGCCAGAGCCAAAGCAGACGTTCGTGGCCGCCCATTTGTGTTTTGACATGTCCTCCAGGATATCATGCAAGGACTCAATCGAGACGCCGTCGCCCTGGATGGCGCGAATGTTAGGCAGCAGCTCCTTGAAGCCTGCGGCATTCTTTGTGGGGGGGAAATTCTTGGCAAGCCTGTCGAGGACTTCCACCGCGATTCTCTTCGGCTCACCGGAATCAGGGCGGACAACGAGCTTGCCTGGAGGTGCCTTGCGGCTCGCCGCAAGGTCCTTGAGCTGTTTGCCACAGAGCTTTTCGCAAGCATCGTCGATGTTGTGTGAATCCGAGGCCACAGCGACGATGCCCTCCAGGTGCTGCGCCAACATATTCTTGAAAGCATCCTTCTCGCCATCCCGCCACCAACTGGAGATCGTTGAGTGCTCCGCCGCTGGCACAGAGGTTCCGATGCATGCTGCTCATGGTTGCTTGTAGTAGTCGATCGCCATGCAGCAGAGACATGGCATTGTGTCACCACCTGCAAAATTTACTGAGTGCCCCGCGCCACCGATCGCAGCCGTCTCCATGGAGGAGACACCTCGGCAGCCGAAGTCGTTGAGCTGGTAACCAACGCTGATCAGCTTTAGCGGTGCCGGTAGCTCGTTGGGCATATTCTTAAGATCCGTTCCAGTTTTGAGCAGGAAATTAATCAAGAATGTTCTTCTTTTGCTCTCGAGACTGCGTTGCTACAGTCATGGGATGCCAGACCTTAACTAGCAAGGTCTCCAAGTAATTCGTCAGCCAGAAGCACTTCGAATCTGTGTTTACTACGGTCATCAACGCAGTCTTTACTGGTACGATCATACCTTCGGGGACCGCTTTGATTTTGATTGGCAAACGGCCTCCGCGGTTGTTCAAGATGTACTACCAGCCCTCCCAGTTGAAATGCTTCATCTCACCCAGGCCCGTGTGTGCATTAACAACTTCTTTGGCGGCATCAATTCTGTCCTTCGCGACAATGTTCAACAACACCTTGGAGATAACGCTTCAGAAAGTACTGGAGACCGAAGAAGCAGAACTCAGGGAACTTACCACCGCGGGACTCAACGTACGAGTAGACTTCGGTGGTGCCTAGCGGGTGCTGCCGACAGTGGGATGTCTTCTACGAGTCGCTCAGCAGCATAATGTTATCCTGGTAGGGGAGCGGTATGGGGCATCGTCGGGGTCCACGTCCGGGGAGGACTGGACGGGCGGGGCAGAGGACGCCTGACCCAACGCGAGGAGGACCTTGTCCAGATGGGAGATCTGGAGTGCGCACGGGTCGGCCGACAATTCTTGAGCCCAAGCTCCAGGCGCTTGAGCAAAAATGGCTGCGGAAGAACATCTTTCAAGAACATGACACCCTCCGCCGGACAAAACAAACACACACACACAGAACATTCGAGGGTACCCTCCCCCAATATGCAAAATAACCTCAAACAAACACGAATCACATTAGGGTACCCTCCCCGAATCGACCTCGATCTTATACCTCGGTCCGACCGTTCGACCAGGTGGTCACGAGGATCAGCGCAGCCCGGAAAACAAGCAGAAGTAGTTCGTGAACGATGCTACGGGCAAGGAGCGCTGCAAGCGCAGGCGGAACATGCCAGCGAAAAGGTCCGAGCTTCCTTGTGCAGAAGGCCTAGGAGGAATGGAACTGGGCCTGCTGCGAGTTGCCTTGCCGTCACCAGCGGCTACTTGCCTCATGCGGAGGGGCCGCTTCGGTCGGATTTGCACCTCAATGGCTGGATTTGCCAGGGGTCCGCGGGGCTGAGCGGCGCCAGAGTGCACCTCGACTGACTGTCTCGTTTGAGGGTGCCCAGCTGCGCTCGATGTTGGCTTCGTCTCTCACACATCATGGCTCGTTCCCGCTTCGCTCTAAACGAGCGCGTCATCCCCCTCCTACTCCTCCTCCTCCTCCTTCTCCTCCTCCTCCTCCTCCTCCACCTCCCTCCATCCCTCCCTCCCTCCTCCTCTCTCCTCCTCTCTCCTCCTCTCTCCTCCTCTCTCCTCCTCCTCTCTCCTCCTCCTCCTCCTCCTCCTCCTCCTCCTCCTCCTCCTCCTCCTCCTCCTCCTCCTCCTCCCTCCTCCTCGTCCTCCTCGTCATCCTCGTCATCCTCGCTTTACTTGACCTCGTCCGTCGTCCTCGTCGTCCTCCTCATCCTCCTCATCCTCCTCGTCCTCCTCGTCCTCCTCGTCCTCCTCGTCCTCGTCCTCGTCCTCCTCCTCCTCCTCCTCCTCTCTCCTCCTCCTGCCTCCTCCTCTCCTCCTCCTCCTCCTCATCATCATCATCCTCCTACTCCTCCCACTCCCCCTCCCATTCCCTCACCTCTTCCTCCTCCTTCTCCTCCTCACCCCTCCTCCTCCCCCTCCTCCTCCTCCTCCTCCTCCTCCTCCTCCTCCTCCTCCTTGTATCACTAATATTATGATTACACTTATTGTGATTTCTCCTGCTCTTCTTATTATTACTCCTCTTCTTGTAAATGTTATGTGTATCTCTATGTTTCGTACTGTTCTTATTCGCGCTCATGTTATTAATGATACCGTTATTATCATTAGTAGTAGTAGTAGTAGTAATAGTAGTAAGTAGTAGTAGTAGTAGTAGTAGTAGTAGTAGTAGTAGTAGTAGTAGTAGTAGTAGTAGTAGTAGTAGTGTAGTAGTAGTAGTAGTAGTAGTCGTAGTCGTAGTCGTAGTCGTAGTCGTAGTCGTAGTCGTAGTCGTAGTCGTATTCGTAGTCGTAGTCGTAGT